TGGGTTCTTCCACATCAATCATCAATGAAGAAAGTGCCCCACGGACATCCTGATAGAGACATCTTCTCAATTGAGGTTCCCTTTTCACACATCACTCTTGATTGTGTCAGATTAACAACTGTCACCCATAGGCTTTTACAGCGTCCCAGGACCTGGAGAGATGGGTAGCAACTCTAGTCACGTAAGCCTGAGGACTGGGAGTGTAGGTCTCAGCATGTAGAAAGCTGGATCTGGCAGTATGCGAGTCTATAAACCCAACACCGTGGGATAGAAACAGGAGGATCACTGGGGCTTGCTCGCTGTTGGTTCGCTCCAATTCAGTAAGATACATTGTCTCAAAGGAATAAGATGGAGAACAATAGGACCAGGCGTGTGACTCTTTCCTCAGGCCACCATGAATATGCATAGCTGTACATGCCTCCTGCATTTACACATATATCACATATATATGTCCCACATTCACATATATTCCCTCTGTGACTCTCTCTCTCTCTCTCTCTCTCTCTCTCTCTCTCTCTCTCTCTCTCTCTCTCTCTCTCTCATATGTTCTCTCATATGCACACATATACAACAAAACTAATGTCTTCTTCCCATTGGAATACCATCCAAACAGCTGTAATCTTCGCCGTCAATCTAGAGGAACTAGTCTCTTCTTGCCTTTCTGCCTGGTCCGTCTCTCTGAGTCACTCTCTCTTGCAGTCACCTTAGAATCCAGGAACAATAGACCTGATGGTTAAACAGCTTGTGATGACTCAGAAGTTCCCTAAAGCAGTAGCAACTTTCTCCTTTGCAAGGAAGCTCCGTGCGGCCATCCTGGAGCCATAGACAATAGTTTGACAAAGACAGCTGAACCCTGCAAGCCTCTGCCTAGCACCCTTCTAGTCCTTTTTTGATAGAGCCACCAAGCTCTTGTGTGCTTATTGAAGACATGGCTGGGGATGCTTCCAAGCCCTTCCCTGTACAGCCAGTGATAACTTCCTCTACTACACCATCATTTTTTACATTGAGTGTTATGGTGTGTTAGGACCCTCCAGTGTCAGACTTCTGCCTGAGGAATCCAGTAACAGGTTTGGTGAGACACTGGGACCACAGTCTATAAACTACTGCTTTTTCACAATGACACTTGTTGTTGCTTGTTTTTTTTTTCCTCTGTATGTCCCTGGCTGTCCTGGAACTCACTCTGTAGTTCAGGCTAGCCTTGAACTCAGAGATCCACCTGCCTCCGTCTCCCAAGTGCTGGGATTAAAGGTGTGAGACACCATGGCCTGGCCACAGTAATGTTGCTGCCTGCAGTGTCAACTTTGATCGCCTCCATTCTTTAACCACAGATATATGGAATGACATCAACAGTTAGATAATTATGGCCGGGCAGTGGTGGGGCACAGCTTTAATCCCAGCACTTGGGAGGCAGAGGTAGGCGGATTTCTGAGTTCGAGACTTCGAGGTTAGCCTGGTCTACAGAGTGAGTTCCAGGACAGCCAGGGCTACACAGAGAAACCCTGTCTTGAAAAACAACAACAAAAAAAGATAATTGTGTTGTGCTCAAGATACATGATATGTGTCCCGCGGTTATTAGACTCCTATCTTTTCAATGTTTCCATCTTCTCTATACCTTCTCTCTCTCTCTCTCTCTCTCTCTCTCTCTCTCTCTCTCTTTCTCTCTCCTTCTCTTGTGATTTGAATAGGTATGGTATAGCCCCCATAGACTCATGTGTTTGAATGTTTGCCACTATTAGGAGGTGTGGCCTTGTTGGAGTAGGTGTGGCCTTGCGGAGGAGGTATGTCACTGGTCACTGTGGAGGTGGGTTTTGAGGTCTCATATGCTCAAGCCAGGCCTAGTGTGGCATTCACTTCTGATGCCTGTGGATAAAGATGTAGAACTCTCAGCTCCTTCTGCAGCACCATGTCTGTCTGCACACCACCATGCTTCCTGCCATGATGATAATGGACTAACCCTCTGAAACTGTAAGCCAGCCCCCAATGAAATGTTCTTCTTTATAAGAGTTGCCTTGGTCATGGTGTCTCTTCACAGCAATATAAACCGTTGCATGAGCCATTTCTTATGCCAAGAACGTTTATTAAGGAAGGCATCTTCTATACTGTTTACTGAGGAGAAATGGCCAAAGTCAGTAGAGAGCCAAGTGAGACAATGTTGGCACAAAGGACACAGGCTGCCCCAGTCACAGCTGCCTAAGGACTGATAGCCACAGCCCAGGGGGAAGAGTTGTGTCCCCAGAAACAGCAGCCTTGACTCCCATGAGAGACTGGCTCCATCTTTAGACACACTTTGCCAAGTTTGTTCCTGGACAAGGACTGAAGTTCCCTTTTCATTTCATCAGAGCATCTAAGAAAGACTTGAGCAGTCTGACTCCTCACCCATGCACACGGTCAATCTGTCTGATTCCCCACGCCTGTACGTGTGTTATTCTCATCCACAAGCACCTTGAAAGCAGGTATCAAGTTTTGTCAGCAGATGCATCCATGGGTGGATGGATGCATGGATGGATGCATGGATGAGTGGATGGATGGATGGATGGATGGATGGATGGATGGATGGATGGATGAGTGGATGGATGGATGAGTGGATGGATGGGTGGATGGATGGATGGATGGATGAGTGGATGGATGAGTGGATGGATGGATGGATGGATGGATGAGTGGATGGATGGATGGATGGATGGATGGATGAGT